GTACATAAACGTGTAGATAATCTTTCAGTATCAAAGTCAGACGTTTAGTTTGGAGTTCGTTCTGAAGCGGAGAAACAATTTCTAATTGAATAAAAAAATCACACAAGTCTTCGAAGGGCCAATCTCTCGACGGCCGTGTAAAACTGCCGCATCTGCTTTTGCCCCGCTCCTCTCCCTCTCCGCCTCCACCCCGTCGAAGAGCCAAAATGTTTAGCTCGTGCGTGCATGTAAACTTGATCTTATTTTGCCTACTGCACTAACAGACGCGGTCTTTATAGATAATCAGTATAGCTTCGAAATCTTGAGATCTTGCACTATCGAATGATTACTATTAGTCTAAGGAAAGAAATGTGTTTTACGAGAAAAATGCGTGTGAAAAACGAAATGTTTTCCTTTTGTCGAAGCGTTGAAATAAAGACTTTTTCGATAACGACTATGTATCGCGCTAGCCAGAGATGTAAGCTTTCAAACGATTCATCACTCCTATAAAAAGTTTTTATTCTGTAAATGAGGTCGAATATTCTTTTGTCGCCAGCTGACAGAAAAGTATCCATTACGTGGATCTCTTGTAGCAAATGTAATTCTTTGACATATAAAGAGACGTTAACAATCGTGACTTGATACCTTTCTTTCCGAGTGTTTTTTTCAAACCCGCAGCTTAAATTTCAATTGACAATAGTTTTTGAGCCACGCATGTCATACGGCCTGTTATGAGGACTTACTTATGGAACCCGTTACACTTGTTTCAACCTTGACGGTCTCATCATTCGGCCGGCTCCCTTATCGTCTTTTGCCAATACTCTCGGGCACTCAGTTTCCTGTACTAAGAGTAGGCGACGACGAACATTTCACACTCTGTGTCCGGTGAAATTATCACCGAACACACAGTGTTGTGCATCTGATTGCTCTTGGCTGGTATTAATAGTATGTCTTACCTTTCTCTTTGAGAGTTTTCTTAAGACCACGGCTCAAATTACAATATATAAGATAATCTTTTTGGGCCACGCATGTCATGCGGTGTGTTATAAGGGCTCACTTATAGAGCCCTATACAATGTACTAATGATACCAGCCAGAGCAATTGATTGCACAACACTGTGCGTTGTGATAATTTCACCGGACATAGAATGTAGAATGTTCGTCGTAGTCTACTCTTGGTATAGGGGATGGAGCGCTCCGAGAGAATTGGCAAAAGACGAGAAGGGTATAGCCCGATTGATGAGACCGTCATGCTGGAACTCGTGTATCGTACTTTATAAGTCAGCTCTTATAACAGACCGCATGACATGCGCGGCTCAGAAATGATTACCTGGTACAGCGTAACTTGAGCTGTAGTAGTGCACAATCTGTCAGAAATGCCGAGCGTTATTACGCGAGAAGACATGGTATATCCTGAAGTAGAGCTTTCGCTATCACAAAAAAGCTCATGTTTCGCACGACTTCAACCCTTTCCATCTTGTCCCAACGCAGGTAGTTTACATGAACTTTGAGGCACACTTTGCCGAAAAGCTAGACCTTAAAAGCTTAAGTTAAATACTCTCAAAACAACTTTCTGTACTCAGCAGAGTGTCTCTCTCTCTTCAAATTATAAGGTAACTATCCTTTTCTTTTCGAATGACATGAGTTCAGCCCCAAAACATTGTTTGAAAAAGGCCAGACTTGAAGAAATCGGTGACGACTATTGAAGTCACACAGAATAATCTAAGGAACCAACTAGTTTCAAGCTGCTTATACCACCGTTTATGTTAAACCAAAGGATGCAAAATATTCTCCAACGGTGGAGACGGTGATTGCATGAGTATAGGTACAGCCCACCTAATCTCTTGCAAAACGTGCGGTGACGAATATATCGGGGAAACGGATAGGCGCCTCTATTCACGTAACAAAAACCACCTAAACAACAGAGAAAATTGATTTGAAACACTACTAAGTATAGGGCACAGATGCATAAGGAGGTGAGCTTTGAGGCAAAATTATCCATCTTCGCACAAAAACGAAAAACATCAGCCCTCGAAATTCTCAAAGCAATTAGGTTTGAAACAGAAATTTAGATATGAATCGTAAAGATGAATGCCTTGTCATCATTCGTGACTTCGCGCCAATATCTACGATCGATTTTTGTGGATTCGAGACAAGCACGTCACTACTCGTCCATGTAATATTCATCGCTGCTGGTCCACATATTTATTAGTGACTTTGTAAACAACAAAATATGTTGAGTATTTGAGATGGCTCAATACTATACGCTTCGAAACTTCTAGTATTTTACTGCATTTTTCGAAGTGTTATGATCATTCAAACATTCCTAAGAGAATTGAGTGGTGAGTAAAAACATGGCCTAATGCGGGAATCGAACGCGCGTTTCATCCTATCCAGAAGCGCATGCTCTACCACTACATCACCGAGGCACATTTGTGCTACTACTCATTTTTCAACATCTCTATGTTAGGACGAAACGTCTCTGGGTAGGATGAAACGCGCGTTCGATTTCCGCATGAGGACGTGTTTTTGCTCATCACTCACTTCTATCAGGACTATACATTTAATCTTTTACAGTTTGTCCAGGTTTCGTCTGATTTGGCTGTTAAAATGTTTATCCATAAGGACTGTGTGCCAATGTGGCTCTTTCAAGCTCTGACGAAGACGAAACTGCCGAAACGTTAGCCAGGGATACGAAATGTAAAAAATGTATTATAATGTTCTGTACAAAGTAGACATGTATTAAAAACCTCGCATTTGCTGTTTCAACTATGTTGAAATTGTAGTTGACGACTGCTGATAAATTATTTTGATCAAAATATATATGGGCTGGGAAAACTTCTTTTGAAGAAATACTTTTCAAATTGGAGAGGCTTACTCCAGCTACGCACTAAAAAACTTTTCGCACGAGTTTTTCCTTAATATGGTACATTGATAACATGGTACATTGTGGAAAATGTGTTTCTGAGATAAACTTCTGCAACATCGTCAAAAGACATTTGTAATAAGAGTTGGAAAGCGTAGTCTTTAAAAAAAACGTTTATAGAAGTCCCTTTAGTGATATATCTATCACCTTATTATGGCAGCAAAGTTTGCTTGGAAGTGAAATCTTACCATAAAATACCAAAAAATTCCTTGTGGAGTTGATGAAGAAAAACTCCGAGTTCCAAACGTGGTCTTTTTTCCGTCTTTAAAATCTATTAAGAAAATCTTTTTACAAACCAAGCTAAGTGCCAATATCAGCATTTTTGAGCTATTGACTGGTTACAAAAGCAAAGATAAGAAAAAATCTGAAAAAATGATCGTTCCTAGGGACGTGTTGCCTTCTCAATGAAACAGAAAATTTTTCGAATTTGTATGCATTACTTTCAGAAGAGTTTTTTATTACAACATAGAATGTTAAGAGCAACGGCTGGAACTTTATTCATAACATGAAATGATTCTTTTCGTTAGGCGGCAGGAAGTGAAAAAGCGACCTCTTACGCAGGAAAACTTTTCAAGACAATGGTACATTGCAGAAAATGTGTTTTTCAGATAAACTTCTGCTTCCAGTGATCAGTCGAAAGCATAAATTGTGAGATAATGCGCGTGCTTATTTTTGAGCCTTTCATAGTGCTTAAGCATTCAAAACGATGTTAAGTTTCATTACCCACCTCGCGCTCTCATTTTTATCACGCATACACTTCGCTGGTAGCACGAAAGCGTGTGAGCATGTGGAGGGAATCTTCGAGTACAAGACCATACGTTCTATTCGGAGTTTTCTAAAGCAGGGAAAAATTCTGGATTCAATAGCAAAATCGCAATACACATGTGAGTGACGCCTCACGGTTCATCGAACCATGGCCTGCAAACTCTCAGCATGCACATAAGTTGACAAGCAAATGCCCCGCGTATGTAAAACTCAATCTCACTTTCCTGCTACACTATAGTCAAACAGTCTATTTAGAAAAGAAGCATAGCGTTAAAATCGTCGAGAATATGCTATCGGATGGTTATTCGTAATTCAAAGGTACACCTTTGTCCTGCAAAACTCATGTTTGTGAAACCCAAACCTTTCACTCTTTCTACAGCTCTGTAAAAATTGCTTTATATAAAGAGACACTTTTCTTTATTTGTTGAAATCTGAGCTGTCGAGCGTTTTTCAGCAGTCTGAGGCAAATGTTTTGTTCAGCGAAATATAGGTGCGACAATAATCAAAGTGCGCATGCGTAAAAAACATGATTTTCTGATTGCTACAGCACTATGAAAAGCCCTTCTTATGAAACAAGCACGCACCTTAGTGGCCCAAGTTTTAAGATTTTGTCTGATTACTAGCATTCTCATGAAAGTTCTTGTCCAGCGGTAGGGGTCGTTCCTTCCTCCATGCGGTCTAACAGAAATCAACCTCACTTTTCTGCTACGTAAGATCTTTATCAGGCAACCGATCGTCAACGGTTTTGGTTCGATAAGCACATACCAGCATGAAATCCAACCGAATGAGAGCTTTTGGATGAGTAATTCACGAGGAACTATCAATTCATAGCTTTCATGATAGTGCCATGACCAGACGGTCCGATTTCTTCACGAAAAGACTCAGAGAAAGATATGATGCTCTACGAATACCAGCGAGAAGGACCCACTGTGCTACTCTTACACGTGATAGGGAAAAATGGAAGTGTTGCTGGGTGCCCGCTCAAGTCAAGAGCACCCACGATAAGGGTCGAATGCGTGTTTAGCTCTCACATGAGGTTTAGAGCTCTGCAAATAGCTCAGCATTCTTAAATAAAACAGTTATGCTTATAACGTGTTATATTCAACTGATAAGAAAGTCAGAATCATTTATTTTCTCTAAGAGTATGGAATCGTTGTTGAGACAATGAGTGTGCAACGATCTCACTCTTCTTGATTAAAAACTAATCAAATATGTGAACACTTAGATTCCAAATATTAATACTTGAAATTTCTAATGTCCTGACTGTATTTTTTCGCAGTGGAATGATGTTTCATAAATTCCTAAGAGAACCGTGTGGTGAGCAAAAACATGGCCTCGGGCGGGAATCGAATCCGCGTTTCATCCTAACCGGGGACACGTGCTCTACCACTAAACCACCGAGGCACTTTTGCCCGACCACTCATTCATCAACATCTCTATGTTAGCTGTTGATACACGACCAAACATGTTAAAGGTTGGTGGCTGATAGCTAACACAGAGCTGTTGATGAACGAGTGGTAGGGCAATGTGCCTAGGTGGTGTAGTGGTAGAGCACGGACAGGATGAAACGCGGGTTTAATTCCCACTTGAGGCCATGTTTCTGCTCACCAAATATTAACTTGAAATACTTGATAACCACTTTTATGATAAAACGAATTTCGTAAATACTGCCAGCTGAATAAGGGCGAGCTAGCACAACGGTTAGTGATGCAGTGTATCAAACAAGCAAGGTGATGAGCGATTCGCTTTTCCGTTTCCTTGTCCAACATTTTGTTTCCATCAGTCAACTGAATGCTTACGAGCACCTTAGCCCGGTTGCTTTCTAGATTGCAAAGAGAGACGTCTCGACCAGTAATCTACGACATACTAATGAAGACAAAGTCCTCAAACAGAAATCGACAAACTCGTGAAATGTTCAGGACATTTATGCAAAAAAAGCTTTGGAACGATGACAATTCAAAAAGGGCTGGGAACCGCACAGTAAAATGTTAAAATGTGGTAGTGATTTGTGTAGAATTAGATGAATAAACACTCATCTATGTACAAATTGCTCGAGTACAGAACAACCTTTAAGCTCGCCATAGTTTGCTTCATTGCCTTTAGCACTCGTGGGACGCTTTTATCTGACGTCTTGACGCACCTCTGTGGCATTTTGCTTTATGAAATTCTGGCACTACTGTTCCTTTATGGATTTCGCTTTGCTTGATAAAATAGTGAAGAAGAGCAGGCAGGTATAGGGATTTGGCACTTCAGAATTTGCACATTTTAACACATTGTGATTGATTAACACAAGGTTGCTGACTAAAACTTCCACAATCGATGTTGAATCAATAATCAGTAATTGGAGGGCCGTGGCCGAGTGGTTTTGATGCTTGCCACGAAGCGTGCGGTGTCAAACTCCACCCTCCACCTCTCTCCGGCAGTCAGCAACAACGTCCTTTGAAACGCCACAGCAATGCTATCTTCGAGATTGCAAGGAGACATGCACAACCATACTATACGCCGTTGAAGAAGGTACGAAAAACGCATTGTAAATAAATTAATGATGTAAAATAAAGCCATCAGTAATTAATTTCGACACAACGAAGTAAGTTCGTAAGAATGTCATTGTGTTCCTCGGCTTAACTACGGAAAAAGTCTTCGCCAACTGCATAGGCTTTGAAAAACTTTAAACCTTTTGAGCTCCTAGCCTTCTCACCACTTCCAACACTTCTACAGCCAATCGTAGCGGAATTGCCGAGATCCAAGCCATCGAACGGTTGCTAAAAACCTACCGGAAATATCTATGTTCGCCAAAAAAAGGCTTTTATGAATTTGTGTACTCAAGAGAGCACATGCGATCTCCAGAGGGTTGAAGGGCGATAGTAGCACAGCAGCTGACACCATAGTATCTGCGCAGTCGTGAATGTGTCAAGCACAGAGTTTCCGTTTTCCACGACGTACTGGACTTATCTATGCTACTGATATTTTAGAGATTACATTTTTGGAAAACACTGAAATAATGACAAAACAGTAGCACACGACCTTTGAAAGGCTTTGAAAAATTATATCAGATTACATTGAGTTGAGCGAGGTCTCAAGAGTGCAGACGGATGGTGTTGAAATGGATTTCAATGTCATACCCGAGTAAGTTTTTTTCCTGCTTTTCTCTACCCAAAATGAACTTAAGTGAGAATTCAAAAGAACTCTTTATGTTTTTACTTTCTACTTCTACTCGTCTTGCACGTGATTAATGATATATCGAATTGAAAACACGAAAGGACAAAGACAAAGTTTGCGTGACATACTATATCAGGTGAAAAGTGCTGGTCGTGTTCGAAAATTGTCTTTTGTACACTTATAATATCTTGAGAACCTTGCTTAGTTTGAGAATTTTTTTGTATCATTGTTGAGTTAACACGAGTTTGACTCAAAACTTTCTTCGGCTAGTCCTTCCTTATGTTTCCGCAGTGATCCGAGTCCATCTTCCACGGTTCATCATTTTTACGATTCAGTCTTTGATTTCTCACTGACTACTTTGTTTAACTTTTATGGTGTACTATAGCGGTTACCTTTAGTCGAGTTAGCGTCCAGGCTGGCTAAGAGAAGAGATTGAAGAAGAAGAAACTGTTATATCATAATTACTGTAAATGAATTTTTTACTACTGAAACCAATGATAATTGCAGACATAGTTTTTATAGAAGATCCGATTTTTGCTTTAACCTAACAATTTTCTTAAGGTAGCCTTTTCTCATTGGAAGAATAGCAGAGTGACAATAAAATGTCTCGTTCTCTGAAATCAACACAATCACAAAAATCTTTGTTAGTGATTAGACACGGGCACTAATACATCGTTACTACCGCCACCATTTGGCAAACGTGTTAACTTGCAGACTACATTTTGGTGTTAAAATGTCAACGACAATCTTATCAGAAAGTCCGGTCAAACGTCCTTAGTGTGGTAATTTCTTAGAGAATGTGCCATCAGATGTGAAAAAATGCGAGCCTTAGGATCTCCGTGGAATGCTGATTAACGTTCTCGTGAATGTTCCACAGATAGTATCCATGGTGCCTCGCCACGTGTCTTTCAGTAGATGGTGGTTTGATGAACGGCTGACAGTTGTCTGCAAACTGTTCCTGTCAATGTGTCATATATTTAAAAGCTTTATTTTTCTAGGCGCCTCAAGGTTATTGAAACATTTGATTCCCATGACTTCACTAAAAAAGAATCCTGTGCAACGAAAACCTTGTTCAAAAACATGTTATTCTACTAGAAACCTGCCGCATTCTAGCTCTGTAGAAGCATCCAAAAACTTTTCATATGAACGAGCCAGCATTGGATTTTTACTAGAAAAACCTTTTAATCGACTGTTTCAGCGCCTTCACAGGTTTATGAGAGCTACTGATTCGAGTTGATGATCCACATTTGGTCACCGTCGTGATATGGGCATTCGTAGATGCATCAAGGCGAATTTAGTGATTTGAGCACCTGCTTTAAATAAGGATTCTTATGCAAGGGTTTACTCACGATTACTGATTCATTGTCACTTTTCACAATGATTTGCTTTTTGGCAGGTAATGCATTATGTAGCTGGCGGCACCTTATTAGCTAGCGCTTAGCATGGCAGTGTCCAAAAAAACCGATTTTTATCACTTCAATATGTAAATTTTGAAACTAACCTTCTGAATGGAATGTACTCACTTCGACAGGCGATTTTTTAAGGTCTTTCAAGCTGGAGAAGAAAATTTTTACTAAACTTCAAATGGTCCTGCGAAGGCTCAAATTTTTGTGATTTCGATCATGTATTTGTCTGAAGGGAGCTTATTTTTTATTGTTTCGCATTGAAACAGCGAAATAGCAGTACGTTTCATACTTGGATTGCTTAGCTTGCTTGAATGACGTCTGCGAATGGTTCTTCGCCGAGCTATCAATGGACAAACGATAGCTCAAATTTTGGTAATTCTGAGACTAAAATCAATACTTTATAGAATTGAGTGATGAGCAAAAACAACGGCCTCAGGCGGGATTCGAACCCGTGTTTTATCCTGTCCGGGGACGCATGCTCTAGCAGTGCACCACCGAGGCACATTTGAGCCACCACTCATTCGTTAACATCTCTGTGTTATTCAATAAGTCATAACTTTCGTTTCGAGTGTTTTTTTGAGACCACTGCCTCAAATTTCAATATGCCTGATAATCATAATTTGAGCCACGCATCTCAGTGGTCTGTCAAACAGGGCTAACTTATAGAGCCCGATGATACACGTGTTTCGATATTGCGATCTCGTCAGTCGGGCAGTTACCCTTTCTCGTCCGTCGTCGCTAACTCTTAGTGTGGGGACTGGAGCACCCACAGATATTAGCAAAAGACGAGAAAGGGTAACTGCCCGACTGACGAGATCGCAATATCGAAACACGTGTATCATCGGGCTCTATAAGTTAGCCCTGTTTGACAGACCACTGAGATGCGTGGCTCAAATAATGATTATCAGGCATGTCTCTATGTTATATTACAGCCACCAACCTTTAACAGGTTTGGTCGAGTATGCGATTTCGCCTTATGGACCCAGTTGACCTGACAACCACTGTTAAGTAGAATACTGAGAAATTCTAGTATTTTTACTGCCATGGGTTTACATTTGAAACATCATACCACCGCTATAAGCAGTTAAATAAAAAGGAATATCATTTGATCTTTAATCAAGATAAGTCCTCTCGATTTTCATATAACAACTGATTATGCCGATGTATATAGAACTTTTGAATTTATCATATTATTATCCACAGATTGAGAAAAAGTTCTTTATTTCGCTTCAACGGTTTCTGTAAAAATTTTTGAACAAACGCATCCTAATGGGTTTGCAAAAAAAGCTCTGCCGTATTTTCAAAATGCATAGGAAAAATTTGCGCGTACGCAAATTGAGGTCTATTAAGTCTACAGCAGTGGACAAATTGATAATCGAAGTAGCTCCTTCCATATTAAGACAATTCAGCGACATATTCGAGAGCATAAAGATTTTTTAGCTAAAAAAGTCCCAGTCCTTTGACTCAAAAAAACAAAGATTATTCTAAAATTTGCGAGTTTTTGGAGATTCTTGCCTTTCAGAAAGTGCTCCATCAAGTGGAATAAGTGAGAGTCATTCGGCGTTAGGTTCGATCTATGCAAGGGATGTTCCAAAACTTCCCATCCAAAGCCTAGCAAATGATTCTTTGTCGCATTCACTGTTATAGGTTGTGCGTGTAGTACAAAAGAGTGGTTGAAGTTTGACGATTTTGTTGCTTTAGACGAAAACGGCTTAAGATCTCTCTTGGCTTATCGATCAGTCAGCCGCATTAATCACGGGGTGTATCCAACCAACGCCTAGTTGTAGGAACGTCGCAATTTTCGTCACCATAAATCTTGCAGATTTGTCGATGAGCATC